TTAGTTGACCATAGAGTTGAGGGTCTATTTCTGGGCTCTCTATTCTGTTCCATTGATCTATGTGTCTGTTTTTGTGCCAGTACCATGCTGTCTTGATGATGACAGCTTTGTAATAGAGCTTGAAGTCCGGAATTGTGATGCCACCAACTCTGGCTTTCTTTTTCAATATTCCTTTGGCTATTCGCGGTCTTTTCTGGTTCCATATAAATTTTAGGATTATTTGTTCCATTTCTTTGAAAAAAATGGATGGTACTTTGATAGGAATTGCATTAAATGTGTAGATTGCTTTAGGTAGCATAGACATTTTCACAATATTTATTCTTCCAATCCAGGAGCATGGAACATTTTTCCATTTCTTTGTGTCTTCCTCAATTTCTTTCATGAGTACTTTATAGTTTTCTGTGTATAGATTCTTAGTCTCTTTGGTTAGGTTTATTCCTAGGTATCTTATAGTTTTGGGTGCAATTGTAAATGGGATGGACTCCTTAATTTCTCTTTCTTCTGTCTTATTGTTGGTGTAGAGAAATGCGACTGATTTCTGTGCATTGATTTTATATCCTGACACATTACTGAATTCCTGTACAAGTTCTAGCAGTTTTGGAGTGGAGTCTTTTGGGTTTTCCACATATAGTATCATATCATCTGCGAAGAGTGATAGTTTGACTTCTTCTTTGCCGATTTGGATGCCTTTAATTTCTTTTTGTTGTCTGATTGCTGAGGCTAGGACTTCTAGTACTATGTTGAATAGCAGTGGTGATAACGGACATCCCTGCCGTGTTCCTGACCTTAGCGGAAAAGCTTTCAGTTTTTCTCCATTGAGAATGATATTTGCGATGGGTTTTTCATAGATGGCTTTGATAATATTGAGGTATGTGCCCTCTATCCCTACACTTTGAAGAGTTTTGATCAGGAAGGGATGCTGTACTTTGTCAAATGCTTTTTCAGCATCTATGGAGAGTATCATATGGTTCCTGTTTTTTCTTTTATTAATGTGTTGTATCACATTGATTGATTTGCGGATGTTGAACCAACCTTGCAGCCCTGGAATAAATCCCACTTGGTCGTGGTGAATAATCCTTTTAATGTACTGTTGAATCCTATTGGCTAGTATTTTGGTGAGAATTTTTGCGTCTGTGTTCATCAAGGATATTGGTCTGTAGTTCTCTTTTTTGATGGGATCCTTGTCTGGTTTGGGGATCAAGGTGAGGCTGGCCTCATAAAATGAGTTTGGAAGTTTTCCTTCCATTTCTATTTTTTGGAACAGTCTCAGGAGAATAGGAATTAGTTCTTCTTTAAATGTTTGGTAGAATTCCCCCGGGAAGCCGTCTGGCCCTGGGCTTTTGTTTGTTTGGAGATTTTTGATGACTGTTTCAATCTCCTTACTGGTTATGGGTCTGTTCAGGCTTTCTATTTCTTCCAGGTTCAGTTGTGGTAGTTTATATGTTTCTAGGAATGCATCCATTTCTTCCAGATTGTCAAATTTGTTGGCATAGAGTTGCTCATAATATGTTCTTATAATTGTCTGTATTTCTTTGGTGTTAGTTGTGATCTCTCCTCTTTCATTCATGATTTTATTTATTTCGATCCTTTCTCTTCTCTTTTTGATAAGTCTGGCCAGGGGCTTATCAATCTTATTAATTTTTTCAAAGAACCAGCTCCTAGTTTCGTTGATTTGTTCTATTGTTTTTTTGGTTTCTATTTCATTGATTTCTGCTCTGATCTTTATGATTTCTCTTCTCCTGCTGGGTTTAGGGTTTCTTTCTTGTTCTTTCTCCAGCTCCTTTAGGTGTAGGGTTAGGTTGTGTACCTGAGACCTTTCTTGTTTCTTGAGAAAGGCTTGTACCGCTATATATTTTCCTCTCAGGACTGCCTTTGTTGTGTCCCACAGATTTTGAACTGTTGTATTTTCATTATCATTTGTTTCCATGAATTTTTTCAATTCTTCTTTAATTTCCTGGTTGACCCATTCATTCTTTAGAAGGATGCTGTTTAGTCGCCATATATTTGGGTTCTTTCCAAATTTCCTCTTGCGATTGAGTTCTAGCTTCAGAGCATTGTGGTCTGAAAATATGCAGGGAATGATCCCAATTTTTTGATAACAGTTAAGACCTGATTTAGAACCAAGGATGTGATCTATTCTGGAGAATGTTCCATGTGCACTAGAGAAGAATGTGTATTCTGTTGCTTTGGGATGAAATGTTCTGAATATATCTGTGATGTCCATCTGGTCCAGTGTGTCATTTAAGGCCTTTATTTCCTTGTTGATCTTTTGCTTGGATGATCTGTCCATTTCAGTGAGGGGAGTGTTAAAGTCCCCTACTATTATTGTATGATTGTCGATGTGTTTCTTTGATTTTGTTATTAATTGGTTTATATAGTTGGCTGCTCCCACGTTAGGGGCATAGATATTTACAATTGTTAGATCTTCTTGTTGGACAGATCCTTTGAGTATGATATAGTGTCCATCTTCATCTCTTATTATAGTCTTTGGTTTAAAATCTAAGTGATCTGATATAAGGATTGCCACTCCTGCTTTCTTCTGATGTCCATTAGCATGGTAAATTCTTTTCCACCCCCTCACTTTAAATCTGAAAGTGTCTTCGGGTTTAAAATGAGTTTCTTGTAGGCAACATATAGATGGGTTTTGTTTTTTTATCCATTCTGATACCCTGTGTCTCTTCATGTATTTTATGATCGAAACGGAATCTAGGAAAACCATGTGAGAAACGTCGGTACTTTCCTTCAACTGTGTAGCCACCTTTCCACGGTGTGGAATTTTTCGATGCTTATTTCTCCACACCTTCAGCAATATTTCCCCTACATTTTCCGACAGGATCTGTGGTCACTACGTTGTGTTCTGTGCACTGTTCTTGCTACCACCGGCTTCCACACCAGCTGCCTTCTTCCCAGCCTCTGGAAGACAAGGGCTCTGTGTGTGTGTGTGTGTGTGTGTGTGTGTGTGTAGATAACAGAGTCACGTGACATGGGCCTAAGAGAGAGTGCACTGGCTTCCTAGCAACCATCCCTTCTCCCAACTACTCCCAGCAAAGCCAAGTGTGGAGCTGGGCCCCCAGAGGAGGGAAGATTGCTATCCCATTCCCTGGTTGGATATATGCTTAGGCTCACTGCTCGCTCGTCGCTTGTCTCACCACAGGAAATGAGAACTGAAGCCGGGACTTCAGTTATGTCTGACAAGATTCTCACCATTTCCACTACCAAAGAGAGAAGAACTTGTATTTTAAGCTGCCGAAGTTCTGGCCCTGACGTTTCCCGGTCGACCCCCTGCACTTGCATTATAAGCATTATCTTCCATTGTAGTTTCTTTGCAGGAATCTTGTTAAGCCGCCATTTGCGAGAGTTAATTGAGTTAAAATTTGGTCAAGTAATTTGTGAAGCCACTTAGCTAGACCCACGTGACCTGGGACACATGGTGGGGTAGATGGCCCTTATCAGTGCTTGTTTGAGGCCATCACAGTAAGCTTTCCGGTGGGGCAGGGGGGTGGGGGTGAGAGGGTGGAGGGGCAGACACTGCGGGAGCTTGTTTGGAGATTCTAGCAAGGTGGCCCGGATTCTCCCAGCCCCTGGCCACTCCTGGGACACTAACCCTGTCACCAAGGGACCCTATTTATGATGTCAATTCTTAGGGGTATTAGTTCACTAAGGCTGATGGGACAAAGTACCACAGTTATGGGGCTTAAACAACAGAAGTTTATTGTTCTTTTCTAGAGCCTTGCAAGCTGAGATCAAGGTGTCTGCGGGGTTGGTTTCCTCAGAGGGCTGTGAGGAAGGATCTGCTCCATGCCTCTCTCCTAACTTCCGGTGGTATGCCAGCAGTTCTTGCTCGGCTTGTAGGTGCCTCACACCAATGTCTGCCTCCATCTGCACAGAGTGTTCTCCTGCACTGCGTGTCTCTGTGTCCCAAATTCCCCCTTTCAATAAGGACAGAAGTCATACTGGATTAGGGGCCCACCCTACCTCATACACCCTCATCTTAACCAATTGTATCTACAAGACCCTGTTTCCAAACGAGGTGGCATTCTGAGGTACTAGGGGTTAAGACTTCAACATACAAATCCGGGGGAAGACACGATTCAGCCATGAAGCTGGGCTACACCGCAGACCTTCTAAAATAGGATCTATGGGGGGGGGCTCGCACTTCATGTTTTTGATAAGGACCTTAAGTACCTCGTTTGCTCACTAAAGCTTGAGAGCTACATGGCCACCTGGGGGGACGCAGAATGTTCTCTCTCCCACCTCAAATACAATAGGAGCACCAAATAAAACTAAAACCATAGATGTTAATATGTAGCTTAGTTCAAAAGAAATGAAGAAATTTTCATGTGTCATAAAAGGAGAGATCAAAACCAGAGGGCTAAGCATTGGCTGTTGCTGGGAAAACCCTAAGGAGTGTTAGACAAGGATATAGGCCCCTAGAGGCAGTGGGGGGTGGGAGGGGCTGCTGGGGCTCAAATGCTCTTGAGGGAGGTAATAGGCCCATCGGGTGCTTGAAACGGAGGAACTAATCATTTTGCATGAAGCTTGGAGACTTGGAAAGTTACCTTGTCAGTGAAAGTCAGTGAAAGGGGGACCAGAAAAATCAACCAGAGTTTGTTTCAACTAATTAAAAATTGGGCAGATTGGTCATTCAGATCTGCTCTGTGAACTCACGGGATCAAATGGTTTTCTTAGCTGAGGCGCATCTAAGAAAAAGAATTTGGGTTGCTTGAGGGGAGGCATGGGGGGTCATTCTAGGATACTGTAGCAAAGTTGGGATCTGATAAGGCCTGCCAATAGGCAAGGAAAACTTTAGAACAGGCAGGGCTAGGCCTCTGAGCAATTGGGAGAAAGAAGTCCTGGTAGGTGGGAATGAATTAGCATACTGAAAGCAGAGGAGGGTCCTAGAGAGGAATTTGCTGTGTTTCTGATAGACAGGTGAGGGCCAGGGAGGAATGAACCTGACATTGAAAGGCCTCCCACCCCCTCCTCCTCCTCTTTCACAGGTCAACCCTTTCAGAGACCGAATCTGCAAAGTGTTCTCCCACAACGATATGTTCTCCTTTGAGGATGTGCTGGGCATGGCATCTGTGTTCAGTGAGCAGGCCTGCCCCAGCCTGAAGATCGAGTATGCCTTTCGCATCTATGGTGGGTGACTAAGTGGTGGTGGTGGGTGGGGGTCAGTGCCATAGAGTAAATACCAATCTGGAATCCATCAACATCAATTCACCGGTGGGATGATGTCCATTGGGATTCACTTGGGTGTTTATGGGTATTAGCATGTTTCTTGAGTTCTGTAGATTAAAAAAAAAAAAATGGTGGTGAACTACTACTTCAGTGGATAGATGGCTTCCCCTCCATGCCATCAGAGGCAAATAGAGCCATGGGTGTTGTATTTTGGGGTAACAGTGTAGACAGGTGAGAGAGAGAGAGAGATGGAAGACTACATATGGGTATGAAGGAGCCATGCTTGTTTTGAAGAAATTGTGAAATTTGAACACCAGAACTAGCTCAGCCACAAAATGGCTGAGAAATCTTGGACAAATCATTTCATCTTTCTGGGCCTCAGTTTCATCATCTTTAAAATGAAGTGTTTGAGAGAGATCATCTCTGAGGTCTTATGACAGTTTTTGGTCTCTAGTTTTGCCTGGGGTAGCCATAAGATCCTGCAAAAGTTCTGTTCTTCAGGGGGCTCATGTCCCCTTAGCTGAGATGCCTGGAGTTCTCAAAAGAAATTAAAAGGAAAGAAACAAAGAAATCTTGGGAAGACTTCAAACAGACCATGTACAAGGCTTTAAGCTTTTTGTGGCAACTCTTTGGCCCCAAAGGACTTGTACATTCAGGCTTGCATAGTTTGGCATTTCATATGCTCTCCCTTCCAGCCAGGTCCTCCCTGTCCCCACACAGTGGACACCATCTTATTCTTGCCTTGCCCAAATGGACTGGGATAAAATGGAGTGGGGGAGTTTTAAGCCTGATGGATCTGTGAGGGCTCAGTTTTCTCATCTGTAAAAAGGACTTAATGGTATTTTTGTAAGCCCTATGTCCTCAAGCTTTGTATCCAGTAATAGCTGAGTAAGCGTCTATCATACTGTCATTTCCACAGAGAGCAACTACAAACTCAAATATATATGTATATTTGGGCCCCTGGGTGGCTCTGTCAGTTAAGTTTCTTCCTTTGGCTTTGATCATGATCCCAGGGTCCTGGGATTGAGTCCTGAGTTGGGTTCCCTGCTCAGTGGGGAGTCTGCTTCTCCCTCTTCCTCTGCCCCTCCTTGGTTCGTTCTCTCTCTCCCCAATAAATAAATAAAATCACATCTACCATATGTGGTTTATATACATGATATTTATTTATCAGCAGCCTGATGGCACTAATGGTACCAGAAGCAGAGAGTTGAACTTAGAAGAAAGAAATGGTACTGAATGGTCCCCTCCCCCTTTTTACAAACTTTTTTAGCCTAAAGGTGGCTTTCAGTGAGGGACATCACACAGGACTGATAGAAACCTTGAACTCTTTCTGACTTAAAGAATCAGAGAGTTTGGGACAATTTCCTCCTGAAAAGTGAAAATAAGGGAGAGACCGTGAAAGAAAGCCAGAGAAGGGAGCCCAACATCTGTGTATGAACTATGCCCAGATCTCTAAACCATATATACAAGGGCAGACTCAAAGCAGCTCAGGTAGATAACAGAACTGAGATTTGAGTGGCCACTGCATTTTAACAAGTTCCCTCTGTGACAGGGTTTGCACTTTAAGTCCTGTCAATTGCCTGATAGAATTAAAATTAAAAAAAAAAATAAAAATCAGCACTCTTTGGAGGAACATAACAGAATCCAGAGTTTTTACAATAAATCATTTATAATGTCTAAGGTACAATCCAAAATTATTCAATATACAAAAATTTTGGAAAACCAGAAATGTCTGATCTACAGTCTGAAACTATTCAATAGACAATTAAAAAATAAAACTGATATGGTCTCAAGATGGAGCCTGATTCTGACATGACCCAGATGTTGGAATTAGCTGACAAGTCTCTTAAAACAGCTACTAACCCTTGGCCGGTGAAGTAAAAGAAATTCATAATGAAGGGAACAATAGGAATTCTCCACAGAGAAGCAGAAACTATAAGAAAGAATCAAATGGAAAATATGAAAGTGAAAAATAAAATATCTAAAATAAAAATTCATTGGATGGGCTTAACAGGAGAATTGAGATGACAGAGGAAAGAGTCAGAAACCTGAAGATAGTTCAGTATAAATAATCTAATCTGAAAAATGGAAGGAAAAGAATTAATGGGGAAGAAAAGATATTTGAAGAAGGAATGGCCCCACACATCCTACGTTTGATACAAGACACACATTTATAATGAACTTCAAGCAGAGTTAAGTACAAATGAAATCACATACCAAAATTTAATTGGCTTCGTGGTCCTCACCTGTTCATTAGTCATCCTCCTTCCTTACCGCAAGTACTTCTGGGGATCCCCAGGGAGGTCTGGGACTTGTGCTGCAGAGCACTTGCTATTTTGCCCCCAGCCACTTCTGTCTCCTGTCAGTGCCCTTCTGGATGAGCAGCTCTTCCCAAAGCAGAGTGCTGGCCCAGGCTCAGGTATCTCATCTTAGCCAACAGTCTTCAGTTGGCCAGTAACAGGGACTTACCTGTGTAAAAGGTAACAGATGAAGAACAGCAATATATTCATTTTCCATTGCTGTGTAATAAATTACCACAAATCTAGTGGATGTAGACAACATGTTTATAATATCACAGTCTCCATGGTCTAGGAGTCTGGCATAGCTTATATGTGTCCTCTCCTAGGATATCACAGGGCTGCAGTCAAGGCTCTGTCTGGGCTGCCTGTAACTGGGGAGAAATCCACTTACAAGCTCACTCTGGTTGTTGACAAGTGCATTTCTTTGTGTCTGTGGAGCTTAGAGCCCTGGCTTCCTGCTGGCTATCTGCTGGAGGCTGCCTTCGGTTTCCAGAGGCTGACATGTGCTCCTTGCCACATGGGCCTCCCCTGACACGGCCACTTGCTTCTTCAAAGACAGCCAGAGAGAGAGTCTCTTGGGTGTGTATGCTGGTAAGATATAGTCTCATAACACTGTAATCACAGAAGTAACATCCCATCACTGTTGTCAAATTCTGCTGGTGAGATGTAAGTCACAGTTCCCTTCCACACAAAAGGGACATGGAGATTATATACGCATGAGCACCAAGAGGGGCAGATCTGCGGGGAGGAGGGCTCTAAAGTTTGTCCATCGCAAGCAGCATGGAACCATGGGGAAACCGAAGCAGCCACGCAAGGATGCAGGGGACGAGTGGTCAGGAAGTGAGGCAACTGCTGTCTGCTTTTCTCTCTATGGCTGCCGGGTCTATCTTCTCTGCTTCTCTCTCTGCATTTGCTCTTCCTGCAGACTTTCCTGTTTCTGTGCCCATGGGCCAAAGAGGAACACCCTGGTCCCCTATTTTCTCAGGAGAGGCTGATGGCTCAGTCAAACGCATGATCTTACTACTCCCTGGCTGGGTCAACAGCCTTGTCCAACCACCCACAGCCCAAAAGATGCAGAGTCATGGAACAGACAGCTCCAGAGGCCCACTGCTGGGGGTGGGGACACTTCTCAGAGATGGTAAAGTGTGGGCTGAGCAGATGTTCCCAAAGATGTCTGCCTCAGCTGTCTTTCCATGGTTTCCCGAGCTAAACAAACAAAAACACCCCAACCTTCAGGGAAGCTACAAGAACAGCAGGTTCTCTTCAGGCTTCAAGGCACAGGAGCCAAACTGTGTTCGGCTGAGACGTGGGAAGAATGTCCTCACTCCCAAGAGGTCAGACTGAGCGCCTGAGGTCTGGTAAGGGACCAGATACCCTCTGCCCCCCCATGCTGTCCTTGTGTCCTCCTCAAGCCCCTCTCTGCAGGCCCCCTTGACGGATTTCCTTCCTCCTTGAGCTCCAGCCCCCAAACATAAAGCACAAAGCCTTCATGCAAATCAGCTGTGCAAATAGACACCCGGGGACTCATAAACTCCAAGGCTTCCTCAGATACACCCAGACAAATCTGAATTCTCTTTGGGTTCAGAAGATTTGTTGCCTCACAGAGCTGTCAGCAGGATTAGGGACGGGATGCGTGACTCTCTGAGCGCGGCGCTTGGCGCGTGGGAGCTGCTCAGTACATTGAGGTGGTAACGGTAGACGTGAGGGCAGAAGAGGAGGAAGAGAAAAGAAAAGAAAACGGTGATGGCCCTGGTGATCCTTCTTCGGCAAAGTCCAGAGACTTAACTCGATGCTCGAATGCCTTGGTCCTCCGCGCGTGGTCCTTGCACCAGCAGCGACATTGGCAGGAAGCCGGTCAGGAATGTGCATCTCCAGCCCCCCGCACACAGGCCGCTTCAGGGTCCGCACGTTAACAAGACCCCCAGCTGGGTCCTCCACATCCTAACATTTGGGAGACATTGCTCTAACTCACTGGTCCTCAAACGGGACTGCACACTGCTGTCATCTGGGGACCCAAGACCCACGGATGCTTGGGCCCCCGCTGTGCAGGTCTCATGTAGGGGTGCTGGGTGGGCCCCGGCTGGTGGGCTTTTTCAAAGATCCCCGGGGAATTCTCAAGTGCAGCGGAGTTTCGGAGCTACTGTGCCGGTTCGGCTTCCATTCAGTCGTATGCAAGTGGCCATGTTTAAAAAAAGAGAGAAAAAAAGCCTGAAATTAGGCTCTGCAGAGCCAGGGAGAAGTAGGCGACGGTCTGCCCCCTTCAAGCCCCCTGATCTGCCACCTGTAGTATGGGACTGTGGTTCTTATCATCACAAGACGGTTTCTGTGCCTATAGGCTTCTCATCTTCATTCCAGGCAGGAGGAAAAAAGGATGGGAGGAGGGATAGGAACCAAATGAACCTTTGAAGGCACCGATGAAGTTGACTCTTCAACTTCATCTTGTTAACAAGCTTTCTTGGATGCCCCACCCAGCAGCTTTGGACTGCTTTGTCCAGAGCTATGTCACGTGGCCACAGATAGCTGCAAGGGAGACTGGAAAGCTGGGTGTTTTAAGTTGAATACGGCGTCACCCTGGACAGGAATTGCACTGCTGTTAGTAGGAAGGCGAGGGGGAAGGGGATGGTTATCTGTCAAGAATCCAGCACTGGGGATGTACCTGCTAGGTTCCAGTTTCTGCTTTGAGGGACGTTCCTGGCCTCCAACGGATTCATCCCCACCCCTCTCTGGAGGGACTTGCACCTGTCAGAGACCGACTGATACCCCAGGCCCTGCCTTCCTGCTCTGATCAGCCAACTGCCACCAGATGTGAATGACCTCCCGGCAGGGGCCAGAGCGCCCCCGGGGAGAACTTGCCACACCGCCCCAAGACCCGACCCGGGACTGAGGGTTGGGAGAGGCACGGGAGGCAGGCTCCGTTCTCCTAGAAATGATGGTGAGAAGCGTGCCTTTCGTCACTCAGCCAACATGGGCTGATTTCTGTAAAATGACTTCGTAAATTGCAAGGAGTCACATGACAGGGAGGTTGGGATGATGATGGCAAGAGTGTTCTGGAGCCCCGATTCTCCAAGCTTTCTCTAACCTTCCTGTTGTCGGGGAAACAGCAAGAGGTAGGCCCTCCCCCATTCTCAGAACGGCCCCAAGACTGCAGGTCTGAGACTGCTGAGGCTGCAGGGGCTGGCCAGCCGCCCAGAGCTCCCAGCCCCCACTTCTTTCCCAGTCGGCTGTGCCCTTGCACCCCCAAAGGAGGGGAACTGTCCAGGACTACATTCTACTCCAGCAAATTATTCTGTCTTCAGATGGCCTGGGACCAAAGCCATGTCACTTTGCTGCAGTCTCTGCATACGGGAGCTGGGCCAGCAGGATGCCTGGGGACACTGCGGGGTCTCGGGGAGAGGCTGCGGAGCTTCTTACCAGCAGTGCGATGTCACTGCGGCTGCCCCCTCCCTCTAGTCCCGGTGCTGGTGCCTCCGCCCCTCCACCTGCTCCCAGCCCTCTCCCACAATGTGAGATAGCAAAGCTGTGCAGGGAGAGTCTTGGAGGAACGTCTCAGGCCTTAGCCTCCAGGTCCTGGGGCTGATAAACAGTTGGTCAGGGGAGAGCCACCTGCTTAAGGACTGGGGTGCTGAGTTAGACTTTCTGCCTCCATATCCTATCTGGGGGAACAGAGGCAAAGTTCTGGGCTCTACCCCTGTAGGATTCAGTGACCTCAGTACACCTGCTCCTCCATTCCAGGGCCAACATAACTCTGGATTCCATTCTTCAAAGCAAGAGATTACACAGTTTCCAAGGTTGGCATTTTCAGTATTTAATACCCTCGAGTGACACAGAATTGAGCTTCTACTCTACCTAATGAACGTCTTCTGTAGCGAGCATCTTCTATGTTCCAAGCCCCATGCCAGACGACTTCCATGCATTTCCTTATTTAATTTTCACAGCAACACTCTGGAGGTGCTATTATCTATTTTATGGATGAGGAAACAGAGGCTCAGATCATGTATTAGTTCGGGTTAAATTTGGTGGCAAATGGCAGGGGACCCCCAGGGGTTTACACAAGATGGCTTCCAAGATCTCCAGCAGCGACGTGTTATTTCTCTAACGTGTAGAATCCCAGAGGCAGTTGTCCTCAGTGGTTCTGCAATGGCCGGGATGTAGGTTCCTCCTTGGTGTCACCTTATCCTCCATTCCCAAGGTGGCCTCAAGGTCACGAAGAAGGTATAGCCTTCTCTTTAAAGACATTCCCGGAAGTTTGCTGGTGCCTCTTTCTCTTATATCTCACTGGCGAGATCTCAAATATGGGGTCACATCGAGCAGCAAGGGAGGCTGGGAAATGTAGTGTAGTGTTCATTTTAGATGGTCATAAACCCAGCTGAAAATTGGCTGCTTCATTATAATATGAGCAGTTATGAGTGATTCAGAGCACAGACTGCCCACAGAGCTGGACTACCTGGGTTTACCACTGTCTCCATCATTTATCAATGTGTGACTTTGGATAGTTCACGCGTTCACTGACTCAACAAATATTCAGTGAGCGCTTACTCTGTTCCAGGCACTGTTCTAGGAGCTGGGGATGCAATAGTGACCCAAAACACTAAACTTTCTGCCCTTGAGGAATTTACATTTTAGCGGAGAGAAATAAAGGAACTAATGGGTAAAACATACAGTGTGTCAGGTAGTATGGGGCACTAGGAGAAAAATAAAGCAGGGAATGGGATAGAAAGTGCAATTTCAGGCATGTTCTGGTAAGAAGCTGGCATTTAAATGGGTGGGTGTTCCAGGGAGGGGAAGCACAGTGCAAAGGCCCTGAGGCAGGATCACGCGGAGGTCATCAGGCTGGGTCCACTGTCTCTCCAAGGGGAGCAGAGAGGGTCTGCTGACATCTTAGCCATGGGGAGCAAGGCAAGGACATGGTCAAGGATGATTCCAAGCTTATTGGCCATTACCCATTTGCCAAGAAGGGGACAGCTGAGTGCAACAAGTTTGGGGCCAGGGAGGAGGGGGGCACGGTAAGAGTTTGGGTTTCGACCTCTTAAACTTGAGGGACCTATCAGACCTTCAAGTGGAGAGGACAAGAAGGCCTGTGGATGGATATGCTCCTGGAGTTCAGGAGAAGCCCAGGTTGGACACAGATATTTAAAGGCAAGAGGCTGAACTGAGACTGAGAAAGTGGGGACAGTTATTCAATCTCGGTGTGCCTCACTGTCTTCATCTGTGTTATGAGGACTAAATGCAGTAGAAGAGAAAGCACTTAGATCATTGCTGGGCACATCTGTTTGTCGTGGGGGCGTTGTACCTGCCTAAGCTTACTGCCCTTACTTACTGCATGGCTGATGAGCAGTGTGGGGGCTGCGCCGGGGGTTCTAGAAGAGACAGGGGCCGCACTGGGGGTTCTAGAAGAGGCAGAGGCCATGCTGGGGGTTCTAGAAGAGACAGGGGCCATGCTGGGGGTTCTAGAAGAGGCAGAGGCTGCACTGGGGGTTCTAGAAGAGGCAGGGACCATGCTGGGGGTTCTAGAAGAGGCAGGGGCCATGCTGGGGGTTCTAGAAGAGGTAGGGGCTGCACTGGGGGTTCTAGAAGAAGCAGGGGCTGCACTGGGGGTTCGAGAAGAGGTAGGGGCCATGCTGAGGTTCCCAGAGGCAGCAGGGGCGTTCTCCCAGAGAACCTCCCTCGGCATCCATGGCTCTGTGTAGTTCAGCCCGCCTTCCACACTTAACCTCGGTCTCACTCTCCTAGACCTCCAAGCCACTGTTCCCCACATCCCAGACCGATCACTCTCCTGCTGTTCCTTCTCCACCACTATCCTAGTGACCCTGGCACCTCCTCCGGTTTCCATCTCCGGAGGCCCAAACCCTTTAAACCCAAACTTCTCTGATGCCTCTTCCTCCAAGAAGTCTTCCTCATTCACACCCCCTAACTCCAATCAGACATAAACTTGCCCATCTGGAAACCCTTGGAACCCTTGGGAGGCCTGTTCCTTTCTCCCTGGAGCCAAGCTACTCAGGTGTCCAGCAGTCTCCCCCTGCACCTCCAGACTGGGAGCTCCATGCAGACTGGTACCCGTCTGGTCCATCTGTGCCCTGAGGTCTGGCTCAGGGAAGGGCACCCAGCAGGCACCCACGTGTCTGCCGAGAGCGAATGGTGAGGCGGTGGCAAGAAGCAGATGCAGTTACAGGGAAACAAGGCAGCCCTAGGCCCCTGGTGCCGAAGAGAGCAAGGCTCATGCCAGGAGGACAGGTCCCGTGTTAGAAGCTGCTGGAGCGCGAGGAGAGAACCAGCCTGGGCCTGAGGGTGTCAGGGAGACTTCACAGGGAGGCACGGGAGAGTGAGCACAGGTGAAGTCAGAGCATCCCCGGGCTTGGAGGAAAAGGAGGAGGGTACTCCGGGCAGGGGGCTGCCTTCTGCAAAGGCTGGGGGTAGAAGCACTCAAGGCCAGTAGAGAAGACTTGCCGCAGGCACTGACAAGCCTAAGGACACCCCTTCCAAGGCTCCTCTGTAGGGAACTGGGTTAAACACACCCGGCGGCGGGGAGGGGGGTCCAGTGTGGAGGGGGCTTGTGTAATGCCCATATTTTGTTGTTGTTGACATACAGTGTTCTAGTAGTTTCATAGGAATGACCATATTTTTTAACTCAAAAAGGAGGACCCTTCAAGTTCTGACAAGGGTCAGGGCGCTCGCTGGAGTGGACACCGGGGCACTGTCCTCAGCGCAAGTCGGGGAGGTGCTCAGGTAACCCTGAGCAGGACCAGGAGCAGGGATCCGTGCTCAGGTCCAGGCGTCCATCTGCTCCTCCGTGCCCCCTGCTCCCGGCCACTAAACCGCTTAGTGGCTTATGTGATCTGAGGTGGAGATTTCCCTAGCGCGGTGGGTGATGCGGGTTTGGGGACCAGCCTAGCTGGGTCCGAATCCCACCTTCCACTTACCAGCAGTGTGGGCCAACATCTCACACCTCCAGGCCTCAGTGTCCTTTTGGCAAAGTGAGACTCATAAAAGGTCAGTTGTGAAGATTCAGTGACTGAAACCAGGTGGGCTCCAGGCCCGCCTAGGACAGGGGTAGGGGGTAGGTTCCATGGGCCCATGGCTCCCTGGCCCGAGGGAGGCTGAGGAAGCCCCCCTTCCTCTCACACTCGGCCTCCTCTTCACAGACTTTAACGAGAATGGCTTCATCGATGAGGAGGACCTGCAGAGGATTGTCCTCCGACTGCTCAACAGCGACGACGTGTCTGAGGACCTGCTGGCTGACCTCACAAGCCACGTGTGTGCCCGGAGCCACACGGGCTGGGTTGGGCCGGGCCATCCCACAAAGCCCCCGGGTGGCAGGCAGGGTGGGGTGCCCCGACGAATGGGCACATGGCTGGAGGCAACTATCTCCCAAGTTCCTGTCTTTCCTCCAAGGTCCATCCTTCCAGGGTCCCCAAGAGCAGGTGTCCAAGCCATCTTCTCCAAGGGCCCCTCCCACCCACATGGCGGTCACTGAGGGCAGGTGGCCTGACAGCAGCTTAGCCTCAGAGGGACACATCCCCATGTCCCCTTTCCCATGTTATCCAAAGTGTGACAGGACATGAAGGCAGCCTCATGAGTCTGTTTGTCCTAAGACCATGGGAAACTTCAAGTGCTTGAGGTCTGGATTGACACTAGAAGCAAAGATAAAACTGTGGGAGGTCATCACTGACTCCTTGACCTGACCGGGCTCCTTGCAGTACGAGCCCCTGCCTGTGATTGGATACAGGTGTGGGGGGGTGTCACCCCTTTCACCTCCACACCCATTTTCACTGCCTAGTTTGTGCTGGAGGCATGAAGGACACTCTTCCCATGATGAGACCAGCCCACGAGGCTCCAGACCTCAGTGTACATGACCTTATCTCTGCATCTCCATGTCTTTGTCTGGGGTGGGGAGTAGCAAGGGGGGTGGGGAGAACATCTGCCTTACCCTCCCCCAGGGAGGTTGGGGGACTCACATGCTAGTGAAGCACTATCGAGGAGCATGGCCTATAGTAACACTTGGCATGAGAAGTTCTCCCCTCTGCCTGCGACCCCGTGTCATTTTCTCATAGTGGGCTCCTCTCTGCTCTCTGAATTTTTCTGCACCCCTGACCAGGTCCTGAGTGAGTCAGATCTAGACAACGACAACATGCTATCTTTCTCGGAGTTTGAACATGCGATGGCCAAGTCTCCAGACTTCATGAAGTAAGGTGTTCTGGATTGGGGGTTGGGGGACAGGAAGTACCCACCACAGTTGGGGGCGGGGGCAGGAAGAGCCAATAAAGCCCCCCAGTCTTCCTAAGGAGGTCATGAGTCTCCAGGGTACTTTGCCAATGCTTTCAGAATCAGCAAACCTGGAGCTTTGGAGAAATTAGGTAACTGAAATTTCTAACCTTTAGAAAGAGGGAGTGGGGCTTAGCCAGCAAAGGCAAGAGTACATTCCAGGCTCTGCAAATGACGTGGGTGGCCCTGACTTCAGATGCTGCCCATCTAGAGCTGGCACACAGGGGTCTTCCCCTAGGCCCAGGGGACTCCAGGACTGACCGGCGGGTGGCCTTTGCTCCCCTGCCCCCACAACTCCAGAGGTCCCGGGGAGTTGGAGATTTGCATGGGTGTGTGAAGATGCTGGTCACAGAGTATTTCCAAACCTTGTTTCATGCAGAAAGCGCATTAAATTGTCTTCTATCTTCGTACAGACACCCTAGAGACGACTGGCCATCTCCATATTGCCTCAGCCATGTTTAATGGTCTTGTTTGGATCCTTCCAGTTATGGGGAAAGCACACCACCCCACCCCACCCCAAGAGGCAGCCCATTCATGATCCAACAGCCCTGTCAGAAGGCCCTTCTTGGGTGCAGTGGACCTCTGTTTGCCGGTGTCTGCTGTTCCTGGGCCCTCTTCTGCCCTTGGTCTCATAGTCTCAGTGAATCTGATAGCAAAGCATGGCCGCCATGATGGTTTAACCAACCAATCAGAAAAAGAACAAAGCGCTAGACCTCAGAGAGTACCTGGTCAGGAACGGAAGATGGTTCATTCTCTCTCTTCTCCGTACCCAGAGCCTCTGCCTCTCTCCTCATCTCCTCTGCACTCAGCTCAGCCTGCAGACAGGAAATCTCTCCCTTGTCAGACAGGAGGCCAGTTATGGCCTCCCGGCAGATGTCGGTCACTCCTAGTAGTATCTCTCAGCTCTGACTCCAGATTGGGTCAGGTGTTCACCCCTCTTCTAATCGCGTGGCGGGAGGAGAGGGCTCTCCAGGCCGTCCTGGATGCTGTGGGACCCATGTGTGGGCATACCCTCTGACAGACAGTCCACACTTAGAACTACCCCAACTAAGGGTAATTCCTCTTCTTCCAGAACAGCCCAGTACATAACAGAGACCAGAATCCTGTCCTCCTTGTCTTTTTCTTTGCATCTCTCCAATTTCTTTCCATTGGTTTTTGGCACCACGAGGTTCTGACACCCTTTGCTTTCTGGTGATGCTAAAAGGAGCAGAAGGCTTTGGGAGGGTTTGCAATAGCTGCAAACTGGCCATGCCAGAGAGAGGGACGAGAGGGTGCCACCAGGACCACTATGAACCTGGAAATTGGAGGGCACTTTAGATCTGTAGCTCAGGGTGGCTTCATGGGATGCTTTCTCTCAGCTCCTTTCGGATTCACTTCTGGGGATTTTGATATGGCCATATCTGATCTGGCGGCTTCAAGGAGACACTGGAACTTGGAATTCAACCCCCTCCGGGCATTGGGGGACTCTGGTCAGAAGTATGACTTGGTCCCCATCCTTCTCTCACTTATAGACCATTGTTTATTCAATAAAGCAAAACAAAACCTTTCCCTTGCCCCACCAGTTCATTTTTTGAATACAGGATCACATAGAGTAATTTTTATTAAGCACTGCTCATTCCGGGGCTTAAGTTTGCCAATGACACCAAGCTAGCTGGGATGACCAGACTTTTTGAGGACAATGTCCAAATCCCAACCACCTCACAGCAGGGAAAAGGCCAAATGGGATGAAGTTTACACAGAAAACCCACAACATTCCATTCTTCCCCTGGAGTTGCCTCCCAGCGTCTCTCCTGCCGACTGTACAGAGTCATGTTGGGCAGTGGTCATTCCAGCTGGTGCCTGGCTTCCCGGTCCTCGTCACGGGAGAAGACATCTAGGATCCACTTCGCATCCCCAGGCCCCAGGATGCAACATGTGGACCAGCAACTGGGGGTTATTTGCTTTGCTCTTCAGCCAAATCCTGGAATGAATTTGGCCACCACAGGGACCCTTGGGGACCCAGGTAGTCAAGGAGTCTGGGTCACAGGAGAAGCCCCTTATAGGGTCTCTAAGAGCTGACAGATGCCCCTCTGATGGGCACACAGTTTTTCTGGTTTACATCGTCCTCTGGGAAGGTGTCTAAACACTGGATCCCAGGGGAGGTGCTGTTTCACTGTGACATGTACTTGAACCTGCAGTGGTCTCTTTGCCTTCAGGTCCTGACTCACCCATTCAAGATGTAATAAATTTCCCATTGATGGATGGAGTCCCTTGATCAAATCTAAGAGATGCTGGAATGTTAGAGAAAACCTGTCATGTGGATACACACCTGGCCTGAGGTCCCCATCCCAGATCCTGTGTATGGAGGGGCTGTACCCCACATCCTGTCCCCTGCCACAGAGAAGTGGGAAGAGCAGCCTGGTGAGAGCAGACACTCCAGACTCCCCACTGCAGGCATGTGACTGGGGAGCCTGTTCTCCCCATTTCCTTGAAGAATGGCTCAGTCCTGGGCCACCCCCTCCCATCCTATTCTAGAAATAGTCCCCAGGAGAGACACCCCAGCAGCCTGTCCATGCCTGTCTGGGAAGAATGCAGAGAGAGGTTGCCGGATGCAGCTTTTTCTCTCAGGCACCATGGGGGCTTCTAGGCTGTGTCATCCCCACTTCCCATGTCTCCACATGGACCACAGGCAGGTTATGTAGTGGGCAAACGAGGGCTTGGGTCCAAACACTGGGTCTCTTCTAAGCTGTGGGAGCTTGGGCGATATTCTCAACCTCCGAGACTCTGCGTCCTGATCAATAAAGTGGGGATAACGCCACCTCCCTCACAAGTGAGTGTGTGGACTGAATGATGCCAAGTCAGGGCTCAAACTGGAATTCCTTTGTATCTGATCCCAGTGCAATTGCTCTGCAGTCATTTTACCTTCATTCTCGGACATGCAATCTTGGGGCTTCCTCAATTACACTGGTAGAAGCAGATGGGAGGTATCTCTGTCCCGGAGTGACCTGCCACCAAGGCTTGGGAGCCCTACAGTTCTTAGTCCTACCAGCCCCCACCTTGGGGGAGGGGTGGTGGGGGCCAGTAGGTCACAGGACACTGCTTTCCACTGGCGTGAACCCCTGAGCTGAGCTTTCCACGGTCCTTAAGACTCAGCGCTGTGTGACCCTCAGGCGTGTTCTTGCTGTAGCCAAATGTCCCTGGGGCTCAGAGGAGAAGACCACGGGTTTGGTCGTGGCTAAAGATTTTATTCCGAAAAGCCAATCTCGTCAGAGCCAGGCTCCCGGGCATCATGCTCTAAACTCAAAGTAGAGATCTCTCTTCTGCCGTTCCTGTGGGGAGACCCTCTTCCCCGAGGGGAACGTCTGGTAGGTCTTCATGTTTTCAGGGGATGCTCTTAGAAGGTGCCACTTCTTCTCCGGGGTCAGAGGAGGACTGGGGGCAAGGATGGAGCCAGCATTAGGCAGTGAGCCTGCAAGGGGAGGGATGCCCAACCGCGGCCCTGTGTGCCTAGTGTTCTAGCCCATCCTGACCCTGCTGACTGCTCATCAGCCCAACATCTGATAAGCCACCCTGCAGGTGAGATCAGAATAATTGGTATTTGCATGATGGTATAGTGTTCAGAGAGAGAACGTGGGCGTCAGACAGAACATGGGTGTCAGATTCTGGCTTAGCTCCTGCTGGAAGTGGACCCATATAAAATGGACTAATGTGAATACATCTGTCTCAGCTTTGTTTTGAGGAGTAAATGAGATAATGCTTATAAAGCACTTCAGTAACCCTGGACAAGGAGGAAACACTCAACAAACATTATAAGAAATGGTGATGATGGTGATGGTGGTGATGGTGGTGATGGTGATGACGGTGATGGTGATGATGACGATGATGGAAATGGTGGGGATGGTGGGGATGGTGGTGATGGTGATAGTGATGGTGGTAATGGTGATGCTGGTAATGGTGATGATGGTGATGGTGATGATGACGGTGATGGTAATGGTGGTGATGGTGGGGATGGTGGTGATGGTGATGGTGATGAAAGTGGTGACAGTGGTGATGGTGGAGATGGTGATACTGGTGATGGTGGCGTGATGGTGATGATGGTGTTGAAACTCAGGAAAGGGCAGGGATTTTCCCCAAGCCACAGTGGTGATCAGGAAAAGGTCTGAGTGCAGACACTGACCCTCCTACTCCCATTGACCTGGTTGGCCCTGTGTGTTGTGCGAAGCCATCAGCTGCATATGCTGCCAGATAATTTGGAGAAGTGGGGCTGGGACATCCTAGGCTCCCCACAGCTTTAGGAGGTGCAGGTCCTGCCCAGAGTGATCTCAAAAGAAAATATGGCCCAGGAGAGGCCCCACACTGCCTCCAAGTTTGGTCTGACTCAGAGCCACCCAAGGGGTGAAGATGACAAACTCAGAGTCCTAGAGTTGGTGTCAGGAGATCTCAGTTTCTCCAGGTTCTACCTCCAACCAGACTTTCTACCCGGCAAAGTTTCTGAGGCCATCACTAAGCTTGTTTCCCTATCTATAAAATGGGCCCATCTATGTTACAGAGATAACATACAGAGATAGGTAAATTTGTATCTTTAAAACCCATTAATCTCAATGGAAAGTGTTCCTGCCTTATCCATGATGATGGTGACGAGGCTTGGGGCTCTTGATGCAAGCAAAGGGTCAGCATGTAATTGGAAACCCAAGATCTTCCAGATGACCACCTGATGCTTCCTTCCCACATGACACCTTGGCAGCATAGACTTCTGATTTCCATGCCTTGGTGTCAGGAGGGAGCGCAAGGCAAACATGTGTCTGGATTATCTCAGAGCAGAGAGGGCCTTCCCTGGGAAGAGCAACTCTCCCGGATAAAAGCAGTGAGATTCAGGCAGTGGGGAACTTTCACATTTCGTTAGATGGACAGCTGGACTTTGAAAGCTATTTTGTAGTCCAGAGAAGAACATTTTCTGAGCCTGGTCCGGGTTGCTGGGGGGTGGGGGGAGGGTGTGGTACCAATTTCAGGCTCTGTGTAGTGCCCTCTGTGTCCGCCAGAGGGAAGCAGTTCCTTGTTGCTCAGAGCAGCTGTGCCCACGTTTGGACTAGTGTAGCTGCAAGGCTGCCCATACCCTGACCCCTTGCTGTGTAACTATCATCCTCTGAACCATAGGCTCCTTGGGGCCAGTTCTTAACTCATTTCTCACTCTGAATGGCTGCATGCCTGGCTGAAAGCAGGTGCCTATGGACACGTGTTTGTAGAACGCATGAATGAAGGGAGAGCAGGCACTCACAGGTCGGTGGGGAGAGGGTACCGTTCCCACTCCTTCACAGGCAGCATGAAGTAGGGGACCCGGGGCACCATGCCCGTCTTGTCTAGATAGAACTTCCGATGCTGTTGTGCCACCTACAGCTCGACCCAATGAAGAGACGAGAGGCTGTTAGTGTTGGAGGAGCAACCTGGGGCCTCCTGCCATTCCTGCTTGCCTATACCTGGGCAAGGGGCGGGGGGCTGCCTCCCCTAATGCCCCTATTGGAGTTCCCAGCTAGGTGTCCTCTCTGAGACCAGCTCCCCATCTGTCTAATGGGGATAATGGCCCACACCACACCAGCTTTGCTAGGGAGAGTAAACGAGACAAGCGACCAGCAGAAGGAAGGTATGTGAATCCTGCCTGAGCAGGTGACACAGTTTGTTTCTGCCTCCCCCCGCCCCCCATGATGGACACCAAAGGTCTTTCAGTGTCCATTGACATGGTCCCCCAGCCCCCGGATGTCTCACAGCATTGACCCGATCCTCTCCCTGGAGAGGCTGCCTTCTCACACGGTTCTCTGCCCTGAGGACCAGGAGGTACCTGTGTCCTTGAACTCGGGCTGGAGGGTTGTTTGCAAGAGACTGCGGGGCGGGGGGGGTGTATTTCTAGGAACACAGCAGAGAATGAGCCCTGGCCCCTGTGAGCTGGGCAAGCACATCAGTGGTCAGTGCCTGTGTCCACAAGGATGTGTCTGAACCAGACTCAGAGGAGGCTTTAAGAGCTACAGGGGCAGGACCAGAACACCAAGGGCCAGGCACCTAGTGTTTGGGGCTGGCGTTGACTCCGGGGTACATCCTCAGAAATCTGGGAGACAGAGAGGCATTGGGTGGGCACTAGGACCCAGGTGGGCAAGTACAGTCGGGGCAGGGGGCTTAGTGGGCCATTTGTCTGTGTTGGGTGGGCTCAACCTGAAGGTGAATCTTTGGCCTTTTACTCTAGTAGGAAGTAAGCAACAGTCCACTGGGCTATGGGGCAGAGGGGAGGGCGGGCACATCCCCAAAGGCTCCAGCTCTCCCGGCAGTGGGGGTGAGCAAGGGCAAGGGTCCTTGCCAGCTCAGGGGCTCAGAAAAAGGAAATAAAGTCACTCTTTGAGGGTGAGAGGTCTCCTCTGGCCCCACCATCGCTCTAACCCTCTTCCCCCAACCACCAGGGAAAGGAGGCAGCCGCCCAGCCCAGGGCAGCCCACCTGGTAGAACCCCGCGAGCTGGGTGGAACGGTCACTGTCCAGGTTGAAGCGGGTGTAGACAGGGGTGTGCAGCCAGCGGTCCCGGGTGTGGGAGCGCTTGCTCAGCACCAGGTCGGGGTTGGAGGAGAAGAAGGTTGGGAAGTGGCCGCCTGTGCTGAAGGGAGTGTGGATCTTCTCCAGGGCTGCGTTGCGTTGGTCCTGGAAGTACTTGAGGGTGGCGGTGCCATAGGGGGAGCCGAAGGCGAAGGCCACACTGGGAACATGGCCTTGGTACCTGTAATGAGGGGTAGCGGCATGGGAGGGGAGATCAGTGCAAGGTTCCAGGGCCAGTTCCAAGAGAGGCCCCGAAAACCCAGGGATGGGGCCAGTGGGCCCTGTGGGTCACTTCTGGGCCTTGAGAAGCTTCCCTCAGAGGTGCTGCCCAGTTTGGGGCTCCGGGAAAGGATGAGGGAAAGAGACTCTGGGCCTCTCCCTCCCCCTAGAGGATGGTCATCCTTGCAGACCAGAGGCAGAGGCAGGAGCGAGAGCCTGGGGGTCCCATCCTGAGCCCCGAGCAAGCCTGCAGGCAAGTCACTCTCCATTTAGAAGATGGGGAGGCCTCCTGCCACCGGCTCATTAAGGGTAGAGGACGTCAGAAGTCAGTGGGAACATAGCAGTGGGACAATGCTGTCACTTGCAGCCGAGGCCTGGGTTCACGTGCTACAACCTGGCTGGAGCTTAGCGACCTTGAGACGTGCCCCTCACACGGGCTGCCAGGAGCTCTGTCACCTTCTTCAAACCTGGAGGCTGGAGACCGGCAAGAGGGACAGGGGCTGGCGAGCGGGGCCCTCAGAGAGCCAGACAACCCACGCACGCACGCTCAGGACACTAGGGAGCCCCAATCTGGTGAGATTTACAGAGAGCTAGGCTTGCTGCAGCCAAGCGAGGGGCGATCGGGCGACCCCCAAGAAGCAGGAGCATCAGACTTTGTGCAAGAGACAGAGACCAGTGGCTTCCCAGTCAGTGCTTCTCACCCCCTAAAACCTGGCCTGGACCCCATAGTGCCCTTGAAATGGCCCTTGACAAGACCATCCCGGGTTGTCTGCAGCACTGAGGGCTGGTGACCTCTGCCTTCTCGAAACGCCGCTCCTGGATTTTAGGACACTGTTCCCTCCTTGTCTGCTGGTCTTCACCTGACTTTCTGACTGTTCCTTCTTGGTCCCCCCACCCTCGTGATATATCTTTTCTGCTCTTTTCCTCTGGGGTCCGTCCTGAGCCCACACAGTCCCTGGGAAGATGGTATTCATGCCGAGCCCTTAACCTTCACCCTTGGGTGGCTGGCCCTTGGTCTTCATCTCCTGCCTGGAAGTTCCCTCAGACTCCCGTACTCCGTGGCACACGAGACTTCTCCCTCAGTTGGCCCAAGCACTCTCTCTCCCCAGCACCTCTCCAACAGCTACCATCTCAGTGAAAAGCACTCGCCAGATGGCCAAGTCAGAAACCTGGCATCCACCTCCCACAGCCGCATCTATCTCATGCCATCAGTCCCCAAGCCCTGGGGCTCCACACCATCCCAAGCTTGGGCCACACTGCCTCTTATCTGGACTGTGGCCACAGCAGCCTCCTATCCTCCCAACCACGTTCTTACCTCCCCCCCATTCCCATACTCCAGCCGGACTGACCTTTCTAAAGTCAAGCCCTTAACATGGTGTTCAAGGCTGTCTGGGAGCTGACCATGCCTCCCTCTCCAGCCTCACCATGTAACTTCTCTTTCTCCCTCTCCCCGCCTCTCTCTCCCTTGGGGTTTGCCTTGTGTCCCCAGCCATCAGGAATGCCTGCCTTCTCCCCTGGCTCCTGAGGCTTGCCCCCGGTACGAAAGGATCCTTTAAGGCTTGCTCTGTGGGTCTCCTGGGTGGCTCTTGATTTCAGCTGAGGTCATGATCTCAGGGTTGTGAGATCGAGCCCCATGCCAGGGCCCATGCTCAGCTCAGAGTCTGCTTGGGGTTCTTTCTCCCTCTCCTTCTGCTCCTCCCCCTGCTCATGCTCTGTTTCTCTCTCAAATAAATAAATAAATCTTTTTTTTTTTTTTTTTTAAACAGACCCGCCCTATCACTTCTCTGAAGATCCTTTCCTTGCCACCTCTTCCAGGTCTAGGTGGGTCCTGCTCTCTGCCGCCCTCCCACCACTAGCCAAACCTCCTCCAAATGCTCTTGTCTCTGTCTCTGCCACGAGGCGGGGAGTGTCTCGAGCACAGCTGGCTCACGTCTTCCTTCTGGGTCCCCAGTTTGCCATACCAGGTCTGGCATGCGGTCTGGGACGGACACGTTTAGGGAACAAAGAAAATGAGTTGCTGTGTGCCTACAGCATCAGTGATGTTTCCAGTCAGACCCACTCATATAAATGCCTGATGGACCGCTGTGCCGCAGGGACCCCCAGCACCTCCCCCAGGGCCTCCCCTGCTGGGAAGCTGGACACCTCTTCTACGCTCAACTGAGTTCTCTTACCAGGCCAGGGAGTGTGGGAAGCCTGTGGGCTCCCTGGGATATCACGGGCTTCCCTGACTCCCCAGGCCACAGGGCACTGCGGTCTGAGGTCCGAGCTTCAGGGTTACCTGCGGCAGCTGCTCTGGGCCTCGACCCCCCCACCGATAAAATGAGAGAGCATTGAGGGGCTTCCTTCCTCACATCTTCAGGTGGGAGTCAGGAAAGCCAAGCCGGGGGATTACCACCAGGCCTTCCACTGTAGGCAAAACAGTACAGGAGCCCCTCCCTGCTTCCTGACCCAACCTCCCCTCGCCAGCTGTGCCTTTCTAGAATCTTACAGCACGTGAGGTTGCCTGGGCCCAAGCAGGGAGTGAGGGGAGACAACTTCCACTGCACTCAGGCATTGATCCAGCCTTACGTCTCCTGCCTGTGGCTTCTCTCTGCCCTTGAGACCATGACCCTTGGGATCCTAACCTGCACCCCCCTGCCTTTGCCTATCTGCTGGCTCCTCCCAAGTTCCTGGCCGATGGCTCAGTCTCCTTCTCTCCCGGAAAGATGGCAGGGCTGGTGATGCTTGTGAGGTCACTATGGCCACTTCTGGGACTGAGTCCTCCTCTTTCCCATGGTTCGCCCCCCTCCTGGGTCCAGAGCCTCCCCTCCTGCCCTTCCGCTGCCCCCATCAGTCTTTCTCTATTTCTCTCAGCCTCTGTCCTCCTGCCTTGCCATCGATACTCTCTCCTGCTCTCTTAGCTTCTTCCCCTCTGCCTACAAACACACACATTCGTGTGCATTTTTCCCAGGCTGCAGAATCCGCTCCGTGGGCCTCGCATCCCACCCTTTCTCTCCCTGTATTCCTGAATTTCTCCAGGGAATGTTCTGCACCTTCTGCCTTTGCTTCTTCCTCTCCCATTCTTTCCTTGATCTCCCTCAGTCCGACTTCTCACCACCCCCACCCCAGCTTAAATGTGAGCCTGTATTTTTTCATTAAGGTAATGTAAGATCATCCAATTGCCAAATCCAACATCCTCGGTTCAGCCTCTCTCTGCAACACTCAAGCTGATGAAGAAACTCATTTGCCAGAAACATAACCTGAACGGTAGAAGCAGAGTTCCTGAGGGTTCTTTGTGCTATAGATGAAACCTAATAAAAATATAAGCTCGACAGTCAAGTAGTCAGAGAGCAGCAGTAGGGATAAGCTTCCTTTCACGTGGAGGGAGGGCCCCATGGATGTGCCTCCGCCCCCACTTGTCCTTCTACCTTCAGGTGGAAGAACACTGGGCTGGTGGACTGAAGCTTGTTGAAGCCCACCCACCCCTTACTCTTTTCCTTGGAAGCATGCCAGCCCACAGGGCTCCTCTGTGCTGTTTTGCGTGGACACACCGCCCTTCAGGAGGAGAGCCTGTCCCTAGTCAACCCTGCCACCTCTTTCTGGGGTTCAGTATCAGCCCTGTTGTCCCATAACAGCTTTCACTCTTTTATCGTATTTCTCCAGTGGCTCAGAAGGCAGGCATGAAAGAGATGCTGGTCATCAGATGCTGTCAAACCCCAACAAAAAGATAATAAAACGATAGCATGAAAATGAAAGAAAGGTTGTCCGCAGCATTCTGTAGGGACAAGAGCGTGACCCAAGAACATCAGACTGGCCAGCCGACCATCCTGTTAAAAAGGCAGCCGCTGGTCCTTTCCCAGCAAGAAAGAGCTCAGGAACCAAAGCCATCCATAGGCTCTCCTTGCAAGTAGCACTCAGTGACGGAAATCTGCCAGCGAAGAGATGATTCAAAAGAAATACCCAGGAATGTAGGGTGGTTAGTTTCAAATCTATTTCAGTCCTGGAACTAGAAATAGCAGCTAGGTGAAGGCTGGTGGCAGCATGGAGTGGAAATGTTATAAAACCTGTCAAAGGGAAAAATAATTTTGGCAACAAAAATTGGGGAGGTGGGCGGAGGGGCGATGGGCGCGCACCCACGAAGAATTTTTAAGCAGAGTCAACCCATGGCAACTAAATTTAAAACGTGTCGTTGAAAAATACACGACAGAGTGACTCTCACCCCTGGATGGTTTTTATCCTCCCTCCCTCCCTCTCCTTTAGAGAGATCTTTTAGGAATTAATATTTCTTGAGCTGAATTAGCATTTATCTAAAGTCTGGGTGTTCTTCCATTTTATGCCAACATCTTTCTCTTCGGTGGAGTCCTAGTAAGTTTACATTTCGTGATTTTCATTCTAAAATAGCAAATGTAGCAAGATCGTATTTTTGTAGAATTGCTTTGTCTATCTTTCTGTCCACCCAGCCAGCCAGTCGTTGAGTCTTTTTTGCTGAACAGACACACAACGAGGACGGTAGAAGAAAATTCACCAAAAACTAAAAGGGGTTAACGCTAGGTGTTTGGATTTAGGGTGTTTTTTTTTTTTTTTTCCTGCTTTGTACGTGTATTTTTTTTTTTTTAAGACAGTGAGATAGTGTTAAGAATTACTCTAGTGTGAACCTACTGTGTACCGGATGTTGGGGATCCAGAAGTCCGCAAAGCTCAGCCCTTTCTCCTCCCCCCTACCCTCTCATTCTGAATTGACAGTGTTACACGGTATACATGCTGGAGCTCTAATGCCTTTAAATTCGGGGAGGGAGGCCCATTCCCCAGGGTGAGGGGGTGGTATTGGTGGAGGCCCATGAAGGACCTTCCACTGGGGTCAGTCTTTGACGAGGACCTCGGTGTGGAGGGGGATGGCCTGGAAGCTCGTTCTCTTCCTCGGCTTATCTTCCAGGTGCTTCCAGATGCCCCAGGGTCCTCGTCTCTTTTCAGAGACCTACTCCCT